AAGACCTTTACAACCCTAAAAAACTGAACAACGAAATCAGCTTCTGAGAGAAATTACACTTCTGGCAGATCCACTAGGACAGACAAGCTGCTAAGAAAGCTGTATCCTGCAAGTGGATATCCTGCAAACATCAATGAGTTTTTTTTAACTCATTTGCCCTGTTTTTCAACAGGGATGCTGTGTCCCAGGGGAGCCTGGCTCATTTGCCAACGCAAAGGCATCCGCTGTCATCTGAGATATCCTAGAGTATCTGAGACATCTGTTAGAGGCTAACAGATATGCTCCTGGATCTACAAGCAGCCCATGTCCTTCTGGAGCCACGTGAGATATCCTAAGGCCTCTCAAACGACTTACGATGCCTCTGGGTGGGCTGATCTGTGCTTCCTGTAATGGAAGCGCAAACCACTGACACACGCAGACATCTGCAGGCAGAACCCTAAATACTGACGCTTTAATCTCCGAGCTGAATCCCACGCTACGAGTCCTAACGGACTACACAAAGACGCCTCCGAGATCAGGAAATACCACACTCAAGAGTGGATGCAACCTTCCGTTTTCTTTCTTTCTTTTTCCAAGTTTCCTCCCTTCTGAGGGGAGGCCGACTTCTGCCACGGCTCGGAGCGCTAGCAGCAGACCACAGGCCCTAACGCCAGTCTTCAGATAAGACTAATACAAGACAGGAACGGCCAGATCGGGTCAGGCTGAGGGTCCAACTAGCCTCATATCTTGTCTCCAACAGTGATCAAAAACAAATGCCTAGGGAAGAATATAAGAATAAATATACAGCGATACTTTCCTAAAATAACCTACTAGTTTTGACCAATTTGCAGTTCAGGGGTTTCCTGAGCCAATGTTTCTGCACTGAATAGCCTTCAATGAAATTCTTCCAAGAATTTGTCAGTCTCCTCTTATCAGCGTGACCCGCAGCGAGGCAGAACTCATGACCTTCCTGAACTTCACGTTCCTCCCACTCTTTCCACTGCTGTGGATTCAGTGTCTCCAAAAGGCTGTTCACCACAAGGCCCTTCCAAGGGGTCAGCTCCTGAACTCGAGGCCAGAATAAGACTAGGTGAAGTACAGAAGTTGTATGCAGGTCTCAGCTCTCCTAACAGACAGAGTTGGAAGCTTCTGCTATTTGTTATGAATTTCACATGAAAGGAGACAGCTGTGGATCATGAAGCACACTGCCCAATCCCTTTTTTTTTTTTCCCTAAAACACAGAGTCTTCAAAGCGCATTCTTGATCAAGAAGAACAGTAGGAGTATGAGAAAGTCCTCTGTAGGCTGCTGGTTAAGCTGTTCCACACAGAGGCATTTCTACATCTTCCTTTCTCTCAGTGAGTAACAGGAAGTGAGATTTCTTATTTCTCCATCACTAACCCAGTAAACTACTTTTTACAGCACGCAACAACGCCAGGGACGTCCTCGGCTTTGGAAATACTTCGGCAACAAAGTTCCGCTCCTGATTGCAGATCTAACAACTCCTGTGAGTCTATAAAGCGCAAAGCGTCTGCAAAGAACAAGTTGTAAAACAGCACCGAGACCTTGGCATTTACTATTTCTCCCTGATTCTGCATAAAATTCACTCCCTTTTTTGCAAAGAAATGATTTTCCCTCCTGTAGCCAGCTTTCTCCCGGCTAATCTTGCTCAAAAGCATCCTGTTACACAAATAATCTTTATTATCAAAGATTCGGGGCGAAGACAGATGATTACTTTGCAGGGCTTGGGACTGGCAGGAACACGGAAGTAGAGGAACCCCGCTGTCCTGGAAGCGAGGCGGGTTACCGTGCAGCTCAGGGAAACGCAGGACGGGTTAACGTTTGGGCTCTTCTGTTTGTTGGGGGCTTTTTGGTTTTTTTAAATTCCTCAGTGGAGGTGGGACGGCAGGGACCAAACTAACTAAGCAGCATCGCCTCCCGACGGGTGACAGGCGCGGGCGGGAGCGCCAGAGGCAGGGAACCAGCCCTGCGGGGACCCGGCGTGATCTTCCACGGGGTCTTGTCAGACACGAAACGCTCAGGTCGGCGCCGGGGGGGAAGCCCGAGGGGCGCCGTCAGGACAGGCCGGGCGACAAGATGGAGGCGACCGGGGTGGGAGGG